TGGTCGCGGTGACAGCGGCGGGGGTCGCTTTAGATAATGCTGGAGGGGCAGGTGCTGGTGTCGACAGAGATGGTGGCATGTTGTGGGGGGCGGAGATAGTAACGCCATCATAGTGACGCGGTGGCGGAAGCGACGAACATGGCAGTGGCCATGATGGTCGAAGAGTGGGGAAGATGAAGAGGGGGTGAAGGTGATGCTGATGGAGGGGGTGGGCGTGATGGCAGGCGATGATGGCAGTGATGAGGTGGTTAGTGATATGGTGGAGGTGATGGCGGCGGCCCCAGTGATGAAGGTGGGACAGTGATGGTGGAGGTGATGGCGGTGATGATGGCAGAGATGACGGCGGTGCAGTGGTGTGGGATGACAGGAGCAGAGGCTACTGGCAGTGAGGGCCCTGGTTGGAGGAGGCAGCCCTGGTGATGCTCGGGCGATGGCACAGAGGTGGGGTAGAAATGCTAAGTATTGGTCATGTGGTGACGGGTGGGGGAGCTGTTGTCATGATTAAACTAGAAAGGTCAGTGACCCAGAGGCGATAGCGCACAGCGTTGCGGCTACCCAGCCCCACAGCTGCGAGCGAACCATCCTGATTTTGATGAGGTTTACAGAACCTGCTTTCAGGTGTGTTTACCCATCAGCGAAGCCTCACATCCGTTAGCAGTCCTACACACACACACACACACACACGGCCTCTCCTGTCAGCCACACACACACACACACACACACACACACGGCCTCTCCTGTCAGCCAGAACCCCGACAGAAAAGCTGTGAAACACCTCAAGCAACTCATAATTATTCAAAATGTACCTCTGCAAATTTGGAATTAAGAGAGCTGAAGGAGACTTGTCTTATTTGTTCCTCGTGAGAAACAGTCAGTGTCTTAAGTGTCTGTAATGATAACCAAAGATCCCATCTCATGAACAGTCGATTGCAATACAACTTTTCTGAATGAGCCCCCATCTACCTCTGGGGCTGAGTCCACTGAAGCCGAGCGTCTGGCTCCCAGAGCACCCAGCATCAGGGCCCACCAGTAACGTAGAGAAGAGCGATGTTCCCGACAGCGGAAAACGGTTTAGTAAAATGAAGCATCAACCCCGGAATGGGACGTTTAAGGCGCTGGGCAGACAGGGACATGAGCGCAGTCGTGCAGCAGTGAGGATGCGGCAGCGAGGAGCAGAGACAGCTGCCCGGACGGACACTCTTCAGGTCACTTAGCAAACAAGCGTGGGCCAAGGCGAGGGGCGGCTTCAGCTGTGTGAAGGGAAACGCTTCTCTACACAATTTTGCAGACGCCCCTAATAGGCAAAAATAATCTTCTGTCTTTCTAGAGTCCGCACACAGAAATTTTGGTCTTCCACGAAAATGCGAAGAATGTTCTATTTGGGTTTCTTTTTTTTTTTTGAAGATGTATTCATTTATAAATGTACATAAGAACTGGGTGCAGGCCAGAGGTGCAGGGGGTGAGAGGACCCCCCAGAGACAGAGTGGGGAGCAGAACAGGCAGATGGATTGAAGTACACTGCCGAGGGGAGCAGCGGGCTGCTGGGCCCCCTGGGTCCTCCCTGGCGGGGGATCGAACCCGTGCTGCTGTGGCTGCGGACAGCCTCATGGTGCTGCCTCTAGCCTGGCACATTTGTTTTCAATGAAATTTTAACCCAATGGGATAAAACCATCGTCGGTGTCTGTCATAGCTCATTCTAGAATGTGTTTTCACCCATACAAAAATAAAGGGAGACTCGGCCACCCTGTCTGCGCAGCCGGGCCCGGCCGCCCCGGCGCTCGGTGCCAGCGAGGCCCCCAGGCTCGGGCAGGGCCTGGCCGCGGTCGCTCTGTGTGCGCGACCGTTTTCCCGAGGCCCTGCTGCCTCTGCTCGGCCTGCTGCCGCAGCCTCCGACTGCCCCCCGGCTCGGTGTCTTCTCAAAGCCGGACACCTCAGAAAGCCAGCCGGAAAACTAGATTTAATGGGCATTAAAAATAACACTGTGATTTGCACCACTGCACTTCGAGTTAAAGAGCTGTGCGAAGCAGCTTTGTTTCAGACTTGACTCAGCCACCACTTCTGCGGGCCGCGTTTCAGTGACTCGCTCAGCGGTACCAGCGCCATGCAGCGGCGCCCTCAACCAATTTTCGCATGATCGAACGTTCGGAATCTGCAGTATTTAGATCCAGTTTCAAACGGACGAAAAGTTCATAATACAAAAGCTGGCGCGCACGGGCGGGCGTGGCTGCCAATGGGTGGGCCCGGCCGGGCGCTGCCTGGGCGTGGGGGCCCTGTGAGCGCAGGTGACGCTGGGC